CCGCCGCTCATACAGACGGCCGTAGCCTCCCCGTCGATTCGCTACTATACTCCGATGGCGAGGAAGGTTCGTGTCATGGCTTTACGACCAAGGACACGTGCATAAAGAACCACTGCGCTTGGTGCGTCTGTGCTGCCGTTCCGTCGTCCTGCTACACGCCCGAGGAAGCGGATCAGCTGCCTCCCGCCATTTTCCAGTGCGACAAGGGACAGCAGCTCTTGTCATGGGATCTGACGAGTGTCCCGTCGACATCTGCGGAACTTAACAGCCTCTTTGAGGCCTGGAAGGGCCAGCACGCCAAGAGCTACGACTCCCCCATCCAGAACGAGCTTCGTCGCGGTATTTTCGAAGTGAATGCGCGTTCAGTGGCTGCGCACAACAGTAAAGAGGACAAGAGCTTCGTTATGGAGCTCAATGAGTTCGCAGACACCACGTGGGACGAATTCCAGAGCTGGTACTTGGGCGCTCCGCAGCAATGCTCGGCCACGGAGAGGAACGGCGTGGTGTACGGCGAAGTACCGGTTGAGAAGGACTGGAGAGCTGACGGAGCAGTGTCACCCGTCAAGAACCAGGGCAAGTGTGGCTCGTGCTGGACGTTCTCCACGACGGGATGTCTAGAGAGCCACGTCAAGCTCAAACACGGCGAGTTCACGATCCTGTCCGAGCAGAATTTGCTAGACTGTGCGCAGAACTTCGACAACCATGGATGCAATGGCGGACTGCCGTCTCATGCCTTCGAGTACGTCAAGTACAATGGAGGCTTGGACACGGAGGAGGTGAGTGCTGGTGGACTTGTTCTTTGTATTGTTACATTGGTTACGTTAACTATTCTTGATGATAGACTTACCCTTATGAGGCCAAGGAGGGTAAATGCAAGTTCAACACATACCATGTTGGTGCTCAAGTGGACCAAGTGGTGAATATCACGGCTCGTAATGAGAACGAACTGAAGGCTGCTGTGGGGTCTACTGGTCCCGTGAGTATCGCCTTCCAGGTGGTATCGGACTTCAGGTTCTACAAGTCTGGAGTGTACGAGTCTAAGGAATGTCACTCCGGCGAAAAAGATGTGAACCACGCCGTGTTGGCTGTGGGCTATGGCGTGGAGGACGGCAAGGACCACTGGATCGTCAAGAACAGTTGGGGCACCAAGTGGGGCATGGACGGCTTCTTCCAGATCGCTCGTGGCAGCAACATGTGCGGCCTGGCCGACTGCGCCTCGTACCCCATCGTGGTGTAAAGCTGCGGATTACTGCTGGCCATCGTCTTTCATGCAGCGATGAACGAAGGTTGTGCATGTATATGGGTTCGATTATTGTTGTTGTATTAACGCATTAGGTGATCACCATCAAGAGTACGGTGTCGCACTTATAGGGCGCTCTTGATGATCTTCTCAAACTCAGGCTTGAGCGAGGCGCCGCCGACCAGGAAGCCGTCGACGTCAGCGAGCGCAATGAGCTCCTCGCAGTTGTCGCCCTTGACAGAGCCGCCGTAGATAATGCGGACGTTCTCAGCCACCTCGGGGGACACCTTGCTAGTGATCCAGCTACGCAGATCCTTGTGGGCCTCCTGGGCCTGAGCAGGAGTGGCCACAACGCCCGTGCCGATAGCCCACACGGGCTCGTAGGCGATGACAATGCGGGCCCAGTCGGCCTCAGTGACGATGTTAGCCAGAGCCTCCGTCTGACGGATAAGCACGTCCATCGTCTTGTTGGACTCACGCTCCTCGAGCGACTCGCCAATGCAGAAAATGACCTTAAGGCCCAAGTCTAGCGCGCGCTTGGTCTTCTTGGCCACAATCTCGTCCGTCTCGTTGTAGTAGGCACGACGCTCCGAGTGGCCCGTGATAGTCCACTCCAGACCGAAGTCCACAAGCTGCTCGGCAGCGATCTCGCCCGTGTAGGCGCCCGTGCCAGTCAGACTAACGTTCTGCGCGCTCACAGCAATTTTCTTCTGCAGCAGCGACTTGGCCAGGTCAATGTGGAGCGCAGGGGGCGACACAACCACCTCGACCTTGTCCGAGGTGATCTCCACCTTGTTGAGAACAGCGCACAGGTCCTTGACGGACTGCACCGTGCCGTTGCACTTCCAGTTGCCACCGATGAGGTACGTACGAGCCATTCTAGACTTTTAGATCTTGCTGCTTGCAGGGAGATTGAATTGTGAGACTGCAAATTGAGCTCATGACACGGGTCAGTTATGTTCGACCCGCTCTGTTATGCTGAGATTTGTAAGGATGATGCTGACCCGTGGGTTTCCTAGGACATTGTGAGTAATCGACGCGACGATGTCACCGACGCAGATTTATGATGGCCTGCGCGTTTTTCTGTCCTAAAAACACGTACTCGCCCCAAGCAGAAAGTATCTTTGCTTGCTTGTCAAGGCCGACAGTCGGCCGCCGACTAGCTTCGCGACGAGGCGTAATCTGTAGCCGAAGGCGAGCAAAAAAACCGCACTGAGAAATCACGACGACGACAAAGGCACTGCAGTAGGAAGTGAGCGCGGGGGATGCCTCCTAAGCTAGGAGTCCTAACTGCACGCTCTCTCTGCTGCTGGTCGATGATCGATCGCAACGGCAGGACACCCGGAAGACGGAGTCAGGCTCCCCTTTATTCCCCATTATCGGGAGCCGTTCAGGTATTTTCGTTTGTGTCAAACCAACATGCACACGGAGTTCTACAGGTTTGAATGGTCTGCTGCAGCCCCCAAGGTGGTCATCTACCTCTCATACGACTTCGGATCTTGAAATTAGCGAATGAAATTAGCGAATAATCGATAAATGACGTGAGTACATTGTAGTTCGTGTGGGAAGTTGAGCGTGTAATGCTAGTGACGAAGGATAGAGAGCAGACTTTGTCTAATTCCACGATTACTTTTAATTTCTACTAATTCATTTAATCTTTCAATTTTATTTTTTTTTAAGTTTTCAACTCTTAAATTTTCATTAATATACTTAAGAAGTCGGTTTACGTGGTTGTTTTTAAGTTTAACCTATCGCCTCGATCAAAGATGTTGATTTTCGTTTCACTCTTATTTTTCGACCCCACCCTACGTCACCGTGCTTGCTTGCGGTCTATTTCACTATTTGACGATATTTCTTTAAGAATGCACTCGCAATAAGAAAAGTTAATAAGTTCTTATCTAGCAAAATAACTTTACTAGAAGAACTTATTACACAACCTGTTGTTGCACCAAATGGTAAGGCAATATTTACTTTATTCGGAACGAAGTTCGTTCGTAACGAAAATGTTTATCGCCAAGATAACACATTCCTTGTGAGGCTCTAGCATTGAAACTGGAGCGAGTTGCTATTGGTTACCTCGGAAATCTGGGAAAAGATAGGAATGGGTATCCGAACAGGGTGGAGGATTGGATTTCGGTTAACCGAAGTGGATGTCGGACTGGACTTGGACTCCCTAACAGCACTACAGGATTGAAGCGAATGAATCGGGTAAACCAAGATTTGACATTTGCGATATCTGCCACACTCGCTGTTACAAGCCCCGATAACTTGATCGAGGAGGCCGCACTGGCCGCATAAATGTGAAGGAGCCAGGTTTGACAGAGGTGAGGGTTTCATAATAAAGTATAGTGTCCTCCATATTATTACAGCCTTTTGAAAAATAAAGCCCCACTATTGATTTCCCCCCTTAAGCCATGAATAAAATACTATAAAAAATATCAACTACCATCGGTTTAAGCCACCAAGCCACCTGTGCAGCTATAAAACGTGTTTAGCTCGGGTTGGATCGTTAGGCTTGGTACTGTATCTGTATCAGAAATGGTGAGCGATTTATATGTTATTCTACACAAAAAACGTTATTTGGCATTTTTTGCCTCGCAACAACATTATTTATTCATTATTTGCTCCTATATAAATTAAATATAATAAACAACAATATAAACAGCTACGATGATATACAAAATATCATCGTCACATGACATAGCCAGATTTGCTGTCAGGAGTAAGACACAAGCAGGGTTTGCTAGAAATATTTTGTGTGCACCATATTGTGCATATTTTCATGCGCATTATGTATTTCCATCGTTAAGGGAATCCGTTATATTTATTAATTTTCATCTCAATATTTAGCCAATCAAAGGCCTTTTGTGGAGCTGCGCATACCTGATGTATTTCGGTGATGTAGCTATCGTAGACTTACTCGTTGTAGACATTGATGCCGTGGTGGCGCTGACTGGCAATGTCATGTGGTTCATGAAAGGCGTCTGGAATTTCGTAATTGTCATATGAGTCGGGTAATATGTCGAATATCGCAGCAGGTGGAGATACTGGACGAGGTGGTGTCTGCGGACGTGGTCGCTGCGTAGTTTGTAGCGACGCGGGAGCTTCTGGGGCAGGATAAAATTTCTCCGATCTTAACGGCGATGTCATGGATCAAAAGGAGTGACTTCACATTGAGCTTATAAGTGGAAAAGCTTCGGCCGTATGTTCCAAGTGAAATAGGATGAAGGAATCCCAAATCCGTCATTTTCCGGTGGATAACGATCTCGGCGGTCCCTAGGAAGCTCTCTTGGATTCAACCACGAATAGTAACTTGACGGGTCCGAGCATTGAAGTGGGTGACTTGTGTTTTTTGTTTCTTTCTCTGAAGTTGATTTAATTGTCCAATGCAAAGTATGAAGAAAGGCCCCTCGTCACGGCCGCCGGCGAACATCGATACTGTGTTGCAATGTAGGAAGTACAGCGCCCTTAAGACTGTAGGTGGTTGTTCATAGATGATGAGTCTGTCGCTTCTTGGACCAGTCCACACTACGTGATCCGGAAAGAAGTTTTATTTGAAGAGCCTCGAATGGTAAATCAACGCAGGTAGATGACAGAGCACGAGAAACTTGGAATAGAGACACTCATCATCGAGTATACCCGATAGACGCACGTACACGTCCGCACCACCGATAATCCATCTCCGCGAGAAGTAAATGTGTTTTTGGCCGTCGCGGAAGACTGCGAGATACTCCCCGCGAAAGAATCGCTCAATGACACGGCATCGGCTGCCGTACCTGACATTGTGCAGCAGCTTCAGCATGGCGGCCTAGGACACCCACGGCACGCCAAGAAAGTACAAGACGATGCAGTCTCTCCTAGTTCAATGCCCTTTTGTCGTCTATGCCCTCATCGCGCTGGTCTCTTCCGTGCTTCCGCGAAATCCTATTCTTCCTTGGCTCAAAGTTCTTTCGTGTCTTCGTGATCTTCTGTGCTACATTTTCACGCTCTTCGGACGTGCTCTCACCACTATGTGCATTGTCCTGCTTCCTTGGTTTCGTGCTCTTCATTGGTTCGGGGATCCTCCCTGGCTCAGTGCTCTTATGCTTCCGTTCTGTTCTACCATGTACACTGCGCTAACGTAGTTAATGTTTACCACATACGGCTCTGGTAAGTTCGCACATCACATATGCGAGTATAAAATCTGTCATGGCCAACTGGTTTCGCTTTGGTAATTCTTAGTAAATAGTGTAGTGCACTACTGCTTAGTAAATAGTGTAATGCACTACTACTGGTATGATGAACCATAAGAAAACAATAGATTATTGTAGTCAAAGTATGAAAATTAGCGAGCAAAAACAATACTGCTCATTTTAACGCTACTAGAAATAAAAACATCTACTAAAATAATAAACTTGCTAAGTAAAATATATAAATATAAATGTACTTTCCATTTATTTTACGGCTATTTAGAACCTACTAAAAAATAAAGTGTGCTAAGTTAAAAAAAGTACCTCAAAGTACGTATTTACAGCACGTTCGCATGGTCTTCGATGCTCATCGATATAAATAGCTCATGTGGTGCCCGCGTGCAGCCATCGGGATGATCGTATGAGCCGCACGCCTTTAGTATGTGAGTGTTCAAATGGAGTGTTTTAGGGATATGTATTCAATAAAATATTTTCCAACTAAATTTTTTAATGTGTACTTTACATGGGATTTAATTAATTTTTATAATGAGTACTCTACACGGGAAAGACTATTATGGACAGAATACGGCCCAATTATCTCACCACCGCCCACTATTTCTCTATACAGCTTATTTTACCCTATCGTATATGCGGGTATCTCAGTGTAGCCTCCCAAGGCAAACAAACATGCATACACGTAGCGTACCTCGCGTGGCGCAATGCTCCACGGCTTTCGGTTTTGAAAATGGGGGCAAAATGAAGTTTTAACAGTGCAGTTAAGTACTATATGAAGAAAAATTATTATTCAAAATATAGAATACAACAGTTGGGGCCGCAATTTCAATGATTTTACAAATATAGGTGGTTAATGTGCCCGACCAGCAGTACATTAGAGCTCATTCGTACATACAGAGTATGTGTAACAGTACCATTCTAGAATTCTGGATCGCTGTAGTACAATTCTGGAATGGAGTTTACACATGTGGATAGGAAACATCTGATGATTTGATCGCTATATATTTTCATAATTTGCATGCGAAGAGATAGTAGCCATTATTCGCCCTATCTGTTTGCTGAGATAATGCAAGATGTATAATGCAGTTCCTCGGTCATTTCCGAATTTT